GTGCACCTGTCTGTGGTTAGAAGTCGCACTCGCATTTGAAAGTCCTCCATTTTCCTGAAGAAGGTGTTAGTATCGTGATTGAGTTGCATTGTACTGTTATATGGTACTCTTGTTTCACTTCCCCATGAACTGCTCTACACTTTGTTCTCCTTGGGAATGTTCGATCATCGAAGACAGACCATGTTTTTGCACTACGCTGTAACAAAGTTTTTGGCTATTGTAATCTTGATCTATGCTGTCGAGCGAAAGCGCCGTCCGTGTATTAAGGATAATAATGGCTGATAGTGAGACTTATAATGCTCTGCATGCTCTAATGCTCCCATGGAGCTCTTGTCTGTGTGACTCTCCGACAGCTGCACGTGCAGAGCTCCTGGAGAACATTAGAGGCTGAAAGTGCACTCCCGGACACTGCACTTTTCAAGCCGTCTTGCAGCCCGTCTGTGGATACGACCCCCTCCCTTTTCGGTCGGCTGAATACGACCCCCTCGTTGTTCTTTGCGCAACGGGCGGTTGACCCTGGTGGTAAGCAGCGCCACTTGCCTCTACAGCTTATGGATCTTTTTTGGCTGTTCGATACGTTTAAAAGTGTTTCACTCGTGTATTGACTAATTCAGCGTGACGAATTGTACAGGGTGAGGCATAAATACGTTGACAAAATATTTTGGCACAGTTCGAACCAGAAAGGTTGAAACGGAAATCCAAGTACGGCAACATATGGCATATCCTTTGAAACAATTGTTAACATTTATTATTCGGAATTACCGTCCATGAACTTTCCGTTTTCCCCCGAACATACCCTGAAGGAGTCGGTCCTTGTCCGCATGATATCCTTCGGAACTTCATCTCATACTTGTTGAAGAGCAGTATTAGCGATCTATTCAGACTGTGCTGTTTCGCGTCGTCTTCAGCTTCAATATCAACCACAATAAACGATTCTTTGCACTCAAGTCAGAGGTTTTTGCTAATCAATTTCGTACGGTCTTGAAGGCAAATTCCGGGATATGTATGCCACTAGCCATACACGTAGAACTTCGCCGCATACTGAAGAACCAAGTAAGTCTAGCTGGGCATCACCCTTCGTTTTGGTGCCAAAGAAAGACGGGACGCTCCGATTATGTGTCGACTATAGCAAATCAATCAGGTAACGAGAATTGACAGTTATCCGTTACCAACCATCGACACAATCTTGCAAAACCTGAAAGGAAAGAGATACTATTCTACATTAGACCTGTCCTCAGGCTATTGGCAGATAGCTCTTTCTGAAGATGCAAAAGAAAAATCGGCGTTCACTACGACAGAGGGCCTATACCAGTTCGGGTGCTGCCGTTTGGCATAGCGTCATCGCCGGCAGTTTTCCAACGTTTGGTGCATACCGTTCCGGGTCCTCTTCTGGAAGATGAGGTATTCTGCTACTTGGATATCATGGTAGCAACAAAACGGTAGAGCGACATCTTCTGTTTACTTTTATAGGGAACAATCCTTCTATTTTATAAAGCGCTAACTTTGTGTGTCGGTTTGTATGTCTGTATGTGTGTGTGTGTGTATGTATGTATGTATGTATGTATGTATGTGTGTCCGTCCGCAAAATGAAGTGGTAGGGAAACTCGTGAAGTAAACAGACCGTTAACAAAATCGAGTAACTATGACTTTAGCAATCAATGTTTTGCAGTGCTATCAATGTGATAACACCCCAACGGCTATATAAACACCTACTGAGCATGGTCTCATTCATTCCACATGATGCTGCAATAGCAGCTGGAGAGCAGTAGAGGGAATAGGATAAGATGGAGAAGGGCGAGGGGAGCTAACCGCCAAAAGACCTGAGGTCCAATTAATATCATTCTAAGGTCATGTCACGATTACGGTAATGCCTTCTACTATATAAGACACTTTTTTGTGCATGCGTGCCACCTCCACGAGGTGTCCATGTCACCAGTGGATGGGAGCACATTGGAAGGAGTAAAGCTTACGCAGGTAAGGAGGTCCCGGTGGTTGCCGGGGGACCAATCTGGTTTACTATAAGTTGAGGAAAGCGCGGTCACAGCTGAATCCAGAGAAATGTATGCTACTGGAGAGAAATGTAGAGTTCCTCGGCCACATTATCGATCAGAAAGGGTTGCACATGGATCCAGCCAAGGTGGAAGCGACGAAAAAGTATCCACTGCCACGGTTGCATTTGCATCTTCAAACGTTTCTCGGTATGTGTTGTTACTACTGGAAGTTCGTATTGGGATTCGCAAAGGAGCTGGACCACTACATGAGATTGCGTCCAAGAAAGTGCTTTTCAAATGGGACTCCATCCATGTTTCGATAATTAAACTCAACCATCGTGTCAGTGCTCGCACAACCAGATATTGAGGCAGCCAGAAATAAGCTAAGGCCATTCAAAATTTATACTGATGCAAGCAATCAGGGTCTAGGAACTGTCCTGAGTCAAGAAGGTGACGATGGATTTCTGCACCCGGTGTTCTTTCCATCGAAAGCTCTCACTCTGAGAAGAATTATTGGGTTGTCTCATAATTCCTGTCTCAATTTCGACACTTTTGTTTATCCAAGTTTTATCTCTTCTAGGAAACAACTGATCAATAACCATCATGGTCACTGATATGCGTGCATTTGCTAGTGAGCGTTTGGAAGCTTCCAGCCCAGAATGAAGGAAGCTGGGGGTTGAAGAATTTGGAGAAGTCGTTTTTGGGGTGGTCGCAATCTTTAACTTTCTTCTCTGGCAGATGCTTATTCAGGGCGCAGGGGAGGCGATAGTCCGATAGAGCGATGCCAATGCTATATGGTGGATGAGGTATCGTGGCCCTGGCTATCTCCCTCAGAACGTGGTGAGTTGGCATTGCAATGTGAGGTCTGGCGTACATTCGGAGAAAGGAGAATCTGAGACGTTTCTGACGATTCCCTCGCAACCCCGAAGCCTGCCTGGAAGGCTAAACGGAGTTTGTTGCATGTGACTAGAGACTTAGGCTTATGGTGGACCCTTTTATGATTTATGTGAGGAGGAGGAAAGCTATGTACAGAGAGAAGAGTTGAACGCCTTTATTGTATGGCTGCAAGAGAAGGTATATTGTTGTAGTATCTGTTCAAGGCTTATACAGTATGGGCACGCCCCCGCCAGACGTGAGGTCGTGAGGGAGTCATCGCCAGCGATGCGCAGGCGATGACACTCCGGCGAGGCGGCGAAGTGAACACACATGAAACAAGGTTTTAGCAACATAGAAATAGAATATGTATCACAGTTCCGTTGTTGAGCGGCTGATGATTGTTGAGTGGTTGAGGTGTTGGGCAGCGTGGAGAGTAGGAGGCGTTGCTGATGGCGATGGAGACGAGGTTGAAGGCGATGGAGACGAGGTTGAGGGCGATGAAGAGGTCGTTGATGTTGGAGAAGACTTATGGTTAAGGTGATTAGTGGTAAAAGCTCAATTATTTATCAAGTGATTGGATATCTGGCTGACGCATCCTTGTGAACCCGGGTCGAATACGGAGCGCGAATCACCGCCGCCCCAGGAAATGCATGTATAGCAACGTCGACTTTTGTTGAAGATGCCCTTTAGAAGAAACGGTATTTTCATGCTCGAATGACAAGGGTGGGTGGAATATGCGAAGGATGACCGCGCTTGTTCAGATTTCTTAGGTTTAAAAGGTTTTTTGTTTGTGGATCTGTTAGCGACCCTATAGTGTGGGATCATATATTCTTGCTGACCCAACTAGGCCGTGGATCGAGGCAGTTTTGCTCGGCCACTTTGCCATAGGCCCTATTTTCGGTTAACTGTTTTTGGTGCACTAACGCGACCCTTACAACATTCGGACAGGAACTTTTCTTCTTATGCTGTTTATTTATAGGACTTTTCTCCCTAAAGCTTTCGATACATTATACGCCCGACCGCTCCATACCCAGATTTTGTAATGCAGTGAGCCCTGAATACGCTAAGGACCCAAAATATTATCTGTTAACATTGGCCATAGCACATTGTGAACCATCTACATACTAATCCACCATGTTGGTTGGGACCCTCTCCACTTCCATATCTGTATGGGCCAGTAAAAACGGTCTTCGATACTGTGCATCCCATTTATGTTAATTTTGTATTATCCATCTGTAAGAGTTCATACGAGGCTCATGTGGTAGTGAGTCTATATACCCCACCGAAAACACATAAAACCCCCCGAAATCAGATGTTCACCTCCCGAGCTACGGTTAGCCTTACGCGCAAATGTCCGTTTTCCTTGAAACAACCTCCGTCGTCTCGTAGGAGAATAGGAACTGGAAACTGTTTGTAATACTTTAGGTTTTCGTTTGAGAAATTGAGGGTTGAGCTTCTTGCTCGAAAGCAGTGCTTATTTTGAACGTTGCTGCTGTATTCTCTCAAACTCTCTAGTATAGCCGCCAGTGCCGCGAGACTGAGCAAGATTTCGGGTACGCCTCTGCCCCGTTGCGCCAAACAGACCAAAGTCTCTTATCGGACTAGCGACTTGTTGATAAACGGAAGTTTGTTGATATGCAGATCAACCTCAGCACGCCAAAACCGGGCAGCATTTTTGGTAATTAATCGGCGTATGCTATAATTCCACACAAACACCCTATCACTATTCGAAAGCTAGATCCATAAATTAGTGAGTTGGATATAGCATCGCATTATTTCGTCCATTCTCTTAGCTCTTCAATTCTCGTTGCAGGAGTGAAATCGTGAACGGCCCATCGTGTCGCAGAAAGTAGACGGCCCTCCCCCGCTAATAGAGATCAAACATCGAGTACGACCCCCTATAACAGAGCAAATTAATTCAATTAATTAATCAAAATAAATCCTGCAGAACAAATCAAAAAAAAATCCTGCAAAATAATGTTATGGACGCCTCATCTTGTCATCTATGCACTGTCTTTCATCGCTGCACACTTTTGTGTATTTACTGAAATATCGACTCGAGGAAAGCATTAACTTTGTGTGACCTCAAAGTCAGGTTCGTTCAGAAATGCGACCAGTAAATGCCCTGAACACGGCACAGGCTCTGCCGATACACAATCTTGACTATTCTTGCTTGAGTATCAATCGAAAACAAGATCGAACCAGTGTATCCCAGTATCGAACCGGGCCGCCGATTCGGAATGGCAGGCGGTGCGCGCGCGATTGCACTGGGGTCAGAATTTGCTGAAATGCGCCCCCGAAAAAAACCGTCGATAATCTACCACCCTGCGATCGAAAAGGTTGCATTCCTCCATTTCATAACCTTTGAAGCAGCTTTTGAGGTAGGGTTAGATAGAGCTGGATTTCGCGTTTCCAAGAAGTATTGAAATTGCTCTGAAAGCCTTCCATGCAGAAAGATAGGGTCTCTCAAATTTCGTCGAGTAAATGTCGAGGACGCCGAAATTTTCACGCGAGTTTTTGCCACTTCAAGAGCAATATATCTCTTATATTGTAAGATCCTGAAAAAGGGAAGATAGTTTTGGAAAGCGAAGGTTTTGTCGCGTTTCTGCATTTTGTTAGTTTTCTTCTACATCTTCTGATTGAAGAGAAGATTAACGTGCGTCGCAGTATCTATCGAGACGGGATCTACCACTGAAATGCCCTCCTCCTTCAGCTATCTCCACCACTCGTCGACTTTCCCGTTCTGGCGCACACTTCCGAAATGTCTCCTAGAACAAGAAATCTTTCAACAGCAATAGAAAGGGGCAATCAGTACATCATCCGATGCCGCTAATAAAGCGCAAGATGCATCCGTCTCTACTACAGAATAGCCAGAATCGATTGAAAGGTGTTATATGGTGGTGGACCTTCTGAACGAAACTGTATTGTAGTAGACATAGTGTGTTGTGCTATTCCTGTAACCCAAAAAAACAACTTCATTTGCCCAGCGCTTTTTCTTCACGGTTGTCGTTTTTGCGACAGGGTCCCTAACAACAGTGTCATTCTCAGCGAGGTATTAAGGGAGAAGGAGCGAGCGATAGGCAGAGGAGGTGCCTTTGCAGCGCGTGCGCACATGTGGCACTCTTCTTTGCGGGGATGCACTTTCATTCTTTGTACTGCCTTCAAATACGCCCTTCTCATGAAGGTGGAGGAATGGAGCGACTGAACCTGCAAAGAAAATTTAATATCATGTTTTTTTCAGATGTTTTCATTTTCTGCTGCGCTATACCCTCTTACCTATCTGCACCACGATACCACTTCTGTTACTGACCCCCAAGAGTACGACCCCCCATGGACCAGCCCAACAGGTACGACCCCCCTGTCGAGGATTTCCTCGACCGATATTCACCCTGTTCTCGGGGCAATTCGGAACGTCTGGTGCTTAAGCCACCCCTACCCGACTATGAGCGCAGTTGTATCTACTCTCTTCGATGGAGCTTCCTGGAGGTGCTCGAAGTTATTGAGAAGGACGTTTGTTGTGATTGATTCCACAATGGTCCCTTTCGATTCCCTTCATTCTGAGTACTATTTACTTTA